AGGCATACAAGGAATCGGGTGTTACACCTCATACATCAGAATTCCAAAATATTAAATAACTAATAAAAATTTACCTCAAGTCGCAAAATTCCGAATGTTGGAATTTCGAACTCGGATTTACTGGTTCAGGACATCTGCTTCAAAAATCATTCAATCGATTTATCATTTATACCCAAAGACTAAGTGAAAACTGAGAAATCAAAAAGAAGAAAACGGATTAGAGAAAAACACTCTTCTTACTTCTGGTTTAAACGTGAAATTCGGAGAAAAAGCAATCATTTAATGGTTGCAATCGAATTACCATTTATACCCAATGAATAAGACGGAAAAATTCAGAGGTATTGTGGCTTCTTGGTTCTTTAGTGCGGGAATTTTTGAAACTCATTTCTCCATTCTAGGGTTTAGATAAAATACATAATTCATTGCCACAAATAGGTATGTACAGACGACATGCGTCGCCTGCACAAAGTCACCTCCACAACATCATTTACTTGTAGTAAGTATGGTAGCGGCGGAAATAAGAGATGTTGGGGTAGGGGTGGCCAGAATCGGCGACGTTGGGGGTAGGGGTGTCGGGTTGAAATTAGGGAAAGAGAATGGATGATTGAAATTAGGGTAAGATGTTTTTAGTGGAGAATTTAGGAGGGACGGCGTGGGGAACCGAAATATTGAGAGGAAACTTAAAAATAAAACGTCTCAATATTTTTGAAAATGTTTCACTTTATTTTCAAATTTTTTTGAACAAAAGTCTCAGTTATTTTATTTTGATTCAAATTAACAATTTTTTTTTTCTTTTAACAGGAAATGACATATTATCATGTAAAATCAAATAATTAAGACTTTTCTGTTCAAAAAAAAAAAATTGGGACTAAAGTGAAACTTTTCAGAAAATATTAAGACTTTTCTGACAATTTTTCAATTTAAAATTAGCGAAAATATGGGAGGGAACTAAAAATCAGCAACACGTCTATTGATATCTACCAAGTCATATTTAGGGTTTAAGGAGCATCGTAATTTCCATCGCCGGATCCCTAACAAATTCGTTGTTGATTAGCGACAAATATATCTCATTTTCTAGTAGTGAAAGAAGGAGAAGGGTGGGGTTGGGTTGGGATATGGTATGGGTAGGAGTGGGGTGATATAAATATGAGTCGTTTTTATTTTATATTGTTAATTAATATATATGAATAAAAAAGAAAAATAAATTAAAAAGGTGAAAATGGTCATATAGATTCTATATGTACTATGGATGTAAAAAAATGTATTTTCTTTAAACCAAAGACTATGTTTTGTTACTTTTTCAAAAGGTCGGACAAAAAGTATGCTGCATATCAAACACCAAGGAGTCAGGGACCTAAAGGGCAATTTACTCTTAAATATAATAACCGCATGAAACCAAACACATAATTTTGTCTTTGATATATCATCTCTACAATCTTATGAAGCCAACTATTTCCGCTTCACATTTCAAACATGTTATAAGGGTAAATTACATAAATCGTCCCTCGTGCAAGTGTCAAAAAACATGTTTAATCTCTATTTTTAAAATTAACTCGGATCGTCCCTCGTTTGGTTTAACCTTGCATGCTTCATCCATGAAAAACGATTTTTGTTGCAAACTTAGTCCATGCCAAGAGTGAATTGACAATAATACCCTTATCTTTTTATTTTTCAATTAATTTGATATTTTTATTATTATTTTCAATTTAAAAAAATAGGGCCCACTATACCATCTCCCCGTCACTTTCCCCACCCTCACATTTTTACTGATCGGAAACACAGGCACACTCAATGAAAAGGAAAAATGAGACACAGCTCGTCGGCAAGTCACCAGCAAGTCACAACCATCACCACTGCCTCCATCCTCCGGTGAACCTTATGTCTACATCTATCATCGTGTCCAACCAACTCCCTCACTTCCAACGACGTTTGAGGCCATCACCTCGCCGAAGAAGGTTGACTTTACAGAGCCGCCTTCACCATAGATTGGCACTGAAATCAGTTGTGTTGTGAGCTGTCATTGTCATTGTAGATCTGTACTGAAACCCTAATGTTGTCTGAAACCCTAACTATCGCCACCTCTATTCGAAAGCATATAGATATGAGGTAGTGGTTATATATTTCTGCGATGGTGGTGACTATGACTCTTCCAGGTGTACATCAGAAAAGATGAAGGGATACAACAACTATCCAGGGTTTGTTTTGACACTTCATATGGCGACGATGATTTAGGGCTACGCCGGAAAAGTTCTTCCTTTTCAATTTGGGGTTCGTCGATCTGTTCTTCCTTTTCAGTCTAGATTCACCAGAAAAGTTGGAGATCTGAGAGAGAAAGGGGTCCGAGAGCAAATGAGAGGAGATAGAGGGTTGTTAGAGTCTTAAAAGTGTCGCCGGAGCTGACTTCCACTCACCGGAGTATTGGAGCTGGTGGCTTCTTCCAACAAACATAAAAAACCGAACCCTGGTGGTGGTGCTTATACTCGGCGGTAGTGATGGTTGTGTTGGTTAATGGAAATAATGAAAGAACCATATATTTAATTAAACCATTTCATTTAATAGATTAACAGTTAATAATTAATAAATAAATCAAAAAAGAAATAAATAAGAGCAAAATGGTCTTTTTATGCATGGAGGGATGAAGTGTGCAACTTTTAAACAAACGAGGGACGGTCCGAGTTAATTTTTGAAAATAAGGACTAAACACGCTTTCTCGCATATGCACGAGGGACGATTAGTGTAATTTACCCATGTTATAACTTGAAGTGGGGGTGGTATTTCCATGTTATAACATGGTATTAAGAAGAGAGATAAGAAGAAAGAAAAAATTTGATTGGTGGATGAAGGAATAACTAATCAAAATAAGTGTTTTATCCCGTCTTCGTTACAATTAGATATACCATAACACCCCCTTAACGAAAAAAGAGGTGGTGCTCATTGCGTTAACACGACGTTATGGCCGCCACCTCAGCCATAACGCGAGCAAAAAATTGCCCATACCGCATGGTCTAAAACCAGTGGCGGAACCGGAAATTTTGATATGGGGGTACAAACATTGTTAATATATTATATGTAGTTATCTAATATCGAGCATTAAAAAACATGTTATAATTTATTTAGTTGGGGGTACAATAACATAAAACATGTTTACAAATAATATATTTTATATATATAAAACAATTTTTTGGGGGTATTGTAGTACCCCAACGCCCCATCTAGCTCCGCCACTCTCTAAAACCATGCATGCTTTGTACATGAATATTTGTGAACACCTGTTTTGGAAATTTTATAGGAATAATCAGACCATGATCCAATCTTTCGGTAATATAAAATAATGAAATAAACAATTAATAATTTAATTTCAAGAATTCCAAAAGAATAAGAAAAGTTAATTTGACACTCCCACAACGTAACGTACCTTCTGTGCCCATCAGATCAGACTGAAGTCAACATAGGAGTCATTCAATATTATTATTATTTTTTTAATTTATATTTTCTCTTATTAACTATGTTGTCAACTCCTTGCTTGTTTAGTACACAAAGTCCATAAATTAATGAATTAAACGACAACATATGTATGAACTCGATTAGAATTTATGTACATTAATCAACTTCGTGGATTACTATATATGTTATCATTTAAATGGTTTTTACAACAGCTTACTCAAATATGGATGTAGCAGTTTTGATTTAATTTCATATATTCATCGAAAATTATAGCATTTTTTTAACATTCTTTAGAATAACATGTTTCAAAGTAAAAGGGGAGCCTCTAGCGGGTCCTAAAAGGCGAGCATCCGTTCAAACATATAGAACAACTAGGGGTGTGCGCGGTGCGGTTTAAAGTCAAAACCGCAAACCGCACCGCATATGCGGTTTGAATATTTTAGAAACCGCACCACAGATGTTCAAAACCGCGTTATGCGGTGCGGTTTGATGCGGACGGTTTATGCGGTTTGGTTGCGGTTTGATCAGTTGTTCAACATTAAATCTATCAAAAAAACCAAAAAACTGACCCAGTTAAAAATTTTGATTGCTTTTATTTTATAAAACCAAATACAATTTTCAAGTTAAATCGTTTTTAATAAATTGTGATTCATGCTACTATAGTTTTGCAAGTGTCACTGTTATTGCTTTATATTGCCGTTATAGTTGTTATATTCTTATAAACCGTGGGATGTTGATCTAATAGTGATTTAATGTTACGTTATAGATATTTGGTTATTGTAAGAAATATATTTAAATACATCGTTTCTAAATCGTGATTTGAAGTTATAATAAAGTAAAGAAAAAAAGTATATATATAACATGCGGTGCGCTGCGGTTTGAACCGCGGTTTTATAAATACAAACCACAAACCACACCGCATAGTGCGGTTTGATAAAATGACAAACCGCAAACCGCACCACAAAATTCTAAACTGCATTACGCGGTGCGGTTTGGTGCGGTGCGGACGGTTTGTGCGGTTTTTTGCACACCCCTAATAACAACTAGTGGCACACGTATGAAAAAAAATAATTTTGCTTTGATAATATTAAGGTTCAGAGAGTTCATGGGATGATTAGCAACAAATATAAATACGTTATTGTTTTAATTTTGTTTAAAAATAGAAGTATATTGGTGTTTTATGTAAAAATAAAGTACATTTATGTTACGGTTTAAAAATAAAATTACAATGTTGTTTAGACTTAAAAATAAATATAAGTTCTTGTTTTGAAGTAAAAAAAGAGTTACACTTTTGCTTTAAAAATAAAAATAAAAGTACATTTTTATTTTGGGTTATATATAAAAATATACTTAAATTTGTATGTACATATGAATACTACCTCTTCTCTGTCGTGCCAGTACAAAGAAGTGTTTTGCGGAGAGAGAGAGAGAGAGAGAGAGAGAGAGAGAGAGAGAGAGAGAGAGAGAGAGAGAGAGAGAGAGAGAGAGAGAGAGAGAGAGAGAGAGAGAGAGACTAATTATATAAAGAAAAAGCGGATGTAGAATGGAAAGGAAATATGGCAGCTTCTACAAAATTCTACATCACATTAAGCTTATTTTCTCTACTTTTTCTTGCTATTTATTTATTTCCATGGAATAAGACTCATAATTTTCTCATAGTCTCCAATTTGCTATCAACATCAACCACTAAGTTTTTGCAACATGAAGCTAAACCGAATATCAAAGTATTTTGTTTGTCTTCCTTTTAGTTTTATTCTTCTACTCTTTTTGATACTAAAGCGTTTACTCTTTTGTTCTTGCTAAACTATTTTTATGATGTATGCTTTTTGTTAGAAAAAACTGGCAATTGAAGAACAGTTAGCTAAAGCAAGAGGCAAAATTCACAAAGCTATTGTTGAGAAAAGATTTGCATCGAATCAGAAAAATGGGAGTTTCATTCCAATAGGAACCATGTACAAGAATTCATTCGCCTTTGTTCAGTTAAGTATTTGGACCAGTTAATTTTCATCAATCGTTTAGCCCTTTTATTCTTCAAAACAATATTTATTTTCTCCCATATGTTTGAATAGTATTTTTCTTAGACCCTTTTCATGTATTTACACAACTTTTATGTGGTAAACTATGTTTAATTTTTCTTCTATCTTTCTTAAGCATTATAGTTGTGTTAATGCAACTTTTTAGAGTTTTTAATAACTTTTAGTTTTAGAAAAAAAAACTCAAGAAAAATAAAAAGCTTTGTTCATATGAATTTTAAGCTTTTATTTTAAACAACATGTCCGTTATCCATAAGCTATTTCAAATAGCTTTTAGAGTTTTTTTTTATGTTTTTGGTTTTTATATAATTTTACATCTTTAAAATCTAAAAGCTACTTTTGACTTACTTCTGCAAAATAAAAAAAATACAACTTTCAACTATCAACTACCAGCTAATTTTGTCAAACGTTTATGATTTCTTGTTTTCCTCGAGAATAATGTGACATAAAATTTAAGAAAGATTTATATATGTTTTAGTATTGTCATATTGTCCTCAATTTTCATGTTACATTTATACACTTTTCTTTTAGGGGTTTGGGGGGGGGGGGGGGGGGGGGGGGGGGGGGGGGGGGTTAACAATCCTCGGTGTATAACTTTCTTTTATTACTTATTTGTTAACACATGTGAGATATAATACATAACTAAATATTCTTCTACATTATCTTCCTACCTATGTGATAAATAGTGACAAATGTCGCATTTTCATAAAATTATTAATATTTTAGTATACTTGTCATTATTTCAATACTTTAAAAAATAGAAAAATAAATATGAAAATATTTAATTTCTCTAACTAAATAAATATATATGAGAAACATCATGTAACAATAAGCGACTCAATGACAATTATGAAGTAGTTAAATAGAAGATTATGCCCTAGCTCTATTATATTATTCTATTTGGTCATGATACCATGGTAAAACGTGAACAGAAAACGTGTTTCAGAAAACTTGAATTTGAACCGACCTAGCTTTCTCAAGTCAGTAACTTGAGAAATTAAATATCTTCCTACCTTATCTTCCTACCTATGTGATAAATAGTGACAAGTGTCGTATTTTTATAAAATTATTAATATTTTAGTATACTTGTCATTATTTCAATACGTTAAAAAATAGAAAAATAAATATGAAAATATTTAATTTCTCTAACTACATAAATATATATGAAAAACATCATGTAACAATAAGCGACTCAGTGGCAATTATGAAGTAGTTAAATAGAAGATTATGCCCTAGCTCTATTATATTATTCTATCTGGTCATGATACCATGGTAAAACGTGAACAGAAAATGTGTTTCAGAAAACTTGAATTTGAACAGACCTAGCTTTCTCAAGTCAATAACTCGTCGTGCCTTTTGTTAATAGAAATTAATATTTATTAAAAGATTGGAAGCATAAAAACAGATGATTATGATCAAATATTTATTAATTCAAAACTATATGAATTCTATTAAAACCTTCTTTAAAACAAAATTTCATTAGGGATGCTAAAAAAGAAGGCAGACAAAATTGTATTTTTTTGAGCTCATATCTATAAACCCTAAGATATATAGTTTCCTTTTTAATCATTTACAGAAGCAAACATAAAAACATAAGTTATTTGACTTTTAGCCCCTTAATTTCTAAATTTCTAATTTGGATCAATCAAACAGGAGTCATACTGAGATGATGAAGACATTCAAGATATGGACATATAAGGAAGGTGATATTCCCTTGATGCATAATGGTCCGATGAAAAGTATATACAGTGCCGAGGGTCATTTCATCGAGGAGATGGAGAGAAACGGAAACCCTCTCGCGGCTAAGCATCCTGATGAAGCTCATGCTTTTTTTATCCCCATAAGTGTAGCCAAGATTGTTCACTACCTCTTCACACCTGCAGAAGCCTATGGTTTTCTAGAACGGATGCAAACCATATTCGAAGACTACATTGACATCATTTCACAAAGGTACCCGTATTGGAACCGCATCAATGGAGCTGATCATTTCTTTGTTTCTTGTCATGATTGGGTATGTACATTTCTATTAAGTTAGATAGACTACTAACTAACTAGGTCTTACAACCGATAGCTAGCTAAGTACATATATGTATCTTGTAGTCGATCTATGTGAACTAACTGAATCATATATATATATATATATATATATATATTCGTATAACAGGGGCCAATTGTTTCGCGCAACAACCCTAAACTCTTTGGAAATCTCATAAGAGTGCTTTGCAACGCCAACATTTCCGAAGGTTTCATTCCCATGCGAGATGTGTCCATGACAGAGATTAACGGGCCATACAACAGTATCCCGAATGTGAGTGGTGGCCAATCACCTCATAATCGGTCGATCTTGGCATTTTTTGCTGGTGGAAACCATGGTGTTGTACGAAATAAGTTGTTCCAACATTGGGGAAGCAATGAAGACAATGATATACAGATTTACACTTACCTTCAAGAAAACCAAAACTACACTGACTTGCTAAGTGGAAGTAAGTATTGCCTATGCCCAAGCGGTTATGAAGTTGCAAGTGCTAGGATAACTGAAGCAATCTACGTGGGATGCATCCCCGTCATAATAAAGAATCAATATGTTTTACCATATAGTGATGTGTTGGATTGGAGTCAGTTTTCTGTGCAAGTACCCGTAATGAAGATTCCAGATCTCAAAAGAATTTTGGAGGATATACCTTTTTCAAAGTATTTGGAAATGCAAAAAAGGGTATTGGAAGTACAAAAACACTTCACGGTTCACATTCCAATCGAAAATTTTGATGTTTTTCACATGATTCTTCATTCTGTTTGGCTAAGAAGAATTAACATTCAGTTACTAAAATTTTGATGAAAACCAGGTGATCATAATTGTAATGTTTTAAATGTAGTTCGCAATGGAAGTATTTACTTTTGATGTTAACATCATAAATTAAGTTTGTACTGCAAAAAGGGCTATTTCCCACAACCACACCTGTCATTTTTGACATATTTCTGATGAAAAAAGTCTATTAGCAAGAATGCGTGAGTAGTTTTCTCCGATCCATTTCTGACAGGTTTAATGACAACTTATCGAAAAGTTTCGTAACAGACTTCCGACCTATGTTTTAGTAACAGGTTTACCGATGGATTCTATTACCATTTTATGGTAAACTATAAGCAGTTAAAATTGTGGAAAATTATTTAAAATCCAGATTTTTTTTGTATATAATACAAAATTATCCAATGGAAATAACAACAAATAAAGTTTAACAACTTCAACCACAAATACCCAAAAAAAAGTTTTTAACACATTCCACAAACATAAGTCTTAAAAAATGTGTCTAATTGTAACAAAATGCGAACTCAATACATTCCCAAAATCATCATTTCATTCACTATGAAACAGATGGTTTACATCAAACAAATTAATACAACTGAAATCCCCACTACAAATCACACTCAACACTTTTGATTTACAAGAAACTAAGTATCTGTACAATAGAAACCCTAAACAATGAAACCCTAATATTGGAATGAGATGAGAGACGAGTGACGAGAGGAAATATCTTGTAAAAAAATGAGTTCAACTAGGAAATGAACCACGAAACAACAACAAATACCCATGGCACTCTGCTGACCCATGCATTGGGTTTGGATCGACAAACCCGCGACGTCTAATACCTGTAGAAGAATTACACAACCAACCCCACAAATACCAATAACTTACAAAAACAACCCAACAATAATAATGATACGAAATTATAAGTTTGCAAGATGTACACTTTCAACACCCCTTCTCAAACCTATCATTAAGACAAAAGATCAATTTTCAGAAAACATATTTATAAGACCAAGACGACTTGAAAAAAAGTTATGATGCAACAAAGTTAAGGATTTTTTCAAAATATCCGCATTCTGATAAGAAGACTCAATTTTAACAACTTTTAAAATTCCATTTTCAATTTGTGTCTCTTATAAGATGAACATCAATTTCGAAATGCTTTGTTTTTTCATGAAAAACAAGATTTAAAGCTAACTTGATGCAGATTTATTGTCACAAAACAAATTAACAGGAGTCAAACCTTTATGACCAATATCATTCAAAAAATTTAGTATCCACAAAATCTTATGTAACACCTAGAATCCAGAAGACCAAGAAAGGAAAGGAAAACCTCAAGACAAGAAGGCAACTCGTCGAGTCTGGGGGATGACTCGACGAGTAGGAGCGGATTTTGAGCAGTGGGTTAAGTGACCTACTCGACGAGTTGAAGGACCAACTCGGCGAGTTGGTCTGGGTTTGGGAAACCCTAAATCTGGGTCTTGGTGCCTTATTTAAACATCTTATTCTCTACCCCTTGGCCTCATTTACAGTCTACATTTCCCCAAACCCTAGACCTCGAAACCCTAGTGCAACCTTGAGCTTGAGAGCATGTTTTTGAGAGTTTAGTGTGTGTTTGGAGCTTGAAGAATAAGGAGAAGCTTTGGGATTCAAGAAAAGGATTGTAGATCCAGAAGTAACCTCTCATTCTCCTTATTTTTTGGTAATCAAGTTTCTACCTTGACTTTTGGTTCCTTAGATCTCCTTATGTCCCTTTTATGAGGGTTTTGGTCCATGAAGTTTGATCCATGAGACATGGACGTCCCAAGCAAAGATCCTTTCAGATCTGGAATCACTAAGGGTGGTTAAGGCATAAAGGTGCAAACTTTATGCCATAGGAACCCCCATGCAAGTTTAAGGAGTTGTTATGGTCTTTTAAGCCTCAAGAGGGAATGCATGGAAGAAAAGGCAGAGACTTTAAGTGAGCAAACGATGTCTAAGGCCTCGATATATATTAGTATGCTTTAGTATGGAATGTTATGGCTTTTGGACAAGAATTTATGTCTTAAGGGGTTAGGGTTTGAGCTTAACCCTTGTAGGAAAGGTATTAATGGGTAAAGTTGGAAACTTTACCCCTCTAGTAGTGTTTCCAGAGTGTATAAGGAGTTTGGAGTGTAGATCTGAAGTGTAGAGGGCTTAATCTGTTAAGATGGACCAAACTGATTGAGGGACTCGGCGAGTCCAGGGAGGGACTCGACGAGTCGAAGTGAGTTGTCCCGAGCCTGTTATGGTAGAACTCGACGAGTTGATTCGATAAATCATGACCATGAGTAGCCAGGGAACTCGGCGAGTCAGGGGTTGACTCGATGAGTTGGATCGTGATTTCAGGATTCTGATTATGGAACTCGGCGAGTTGATGGAGAAACTCGGCGAGTTAAGTCACCTCGGAGCGTTGACTTTGACTTTGACCAAAGTTGACCTAGTTTGACTTTGAGGACATTTTGGGGCTAAGTGTCATTTTGTTACTGATAGCTCGGGGAGCCGCACGAGCAGCAGTTCGGGGAATTGCCAGTTAGCAGCCAGAGGAGTATCAGCAGGACTTTAGCAGTGCAAGGTGAGTTTTCTCCAGTAGAAACGGGTCGAAGGCATCAATGCCAACCCGTTTATGTATGTTAGTGTATATCAGATTTAGATCCGATGCCAGGGTTAGCCCGATGTAGTTTATATGTTCCAAATTTCGGCCCGATGCCGGGCGAGGCCCGAGGAAGGTTTATATGTATGTTTCCGAACTACGGTTCGATGCCGGGTGGTACCCGAGGAAGGAATGCATGTCTAGTTATACTTGTTGTCTTTGTGATACTTGTATGTGCCTGGTAGGGAGGTGAGTGTGGGCGAAGGCCCGTATCTCATCACTAGCTGAGTGTGGACGGGGTTCCATATCTCATTAGTAGTAGAGTAGGGGCGGGGCCTAAGATAGGCGGGGCCTTGAGACTAGCAGTTATAGTGTAGTGATTGTATGTTATGTATTAGCATGATTATATGTTTTGTTGTATGTGTATGGTAGGCAAGGTCCAGAGACAGGCGAGGCCTAAAAGAAACAGATCTGTATACCGAGCGGGGCTCGATGCCAGGGGGAGGGGGGGCTGATGTCGGGCAAGTCCTGATGCAGCGGGTGGGGGCCATTATATGTGTGTGTGTATGGTATGTGGTAGATTGGGGAACTCACTAAGCTTTGTGCTTACAGTTTTTAGTTTTGGTTTCAGGTACTTCCGGTAGCGGAGGGAATAACTCGATATGACTGCATGGCACACACCATTGGTTTTAGTCTGGGATTTTTTACTCTGATAATTTGATACTCTGATTATAATGTTTGGAGATATTGACTATGTTTGATGAAAATATTTGATAAATATGGTTTTACTTAATGATTTAAAATGAAAATTTTGGACCGTATTTTTGGGAGGTTACATCTCACAAGTTGCAGAACCCAAAGCATGGTATTCAGACTCAATAGATGACCTGGATAATATGCTTTTTTCTTACTTTTCCAAAAAAAACTAAAGATCTATCTAGATAAACCAAATATCCAGTAACTGATCTTCTAGTTGAGAGACACTTTGCCCAATCAGCATCACAAAACCAGTAAGATCCAAAGAATTTGTTTTAGAAAACAAGACACCTTTTCCAGGACAACTTGCTAACTATCTTAACAACCTAAATGCAACATTAAGGTTAGACGACATGGTTTATGCATATGTTGACTTAAAATTTGGACAACATTACAAATATTAGGTCTTGTCATAGTAAGATAGATTTAACTTCCTTATTAGATTTTGAAATTTAGTAATATTAACAATGTTATCAGAATTATCATCACAATCACGACTAAACACAAAATTAACTTAAAGAGGTGTGTTAACAGGCTTACATCCCAACATACCAAATTCATGCAAAATTTCCAAACAATACTTCCTCTGGTTTAAGCACACACCATTATTAATAGGTAAAACTTCAATTCCCAAAAAATATTTTAACACTCCTAAATCCTTTATACGAAACTAAGACAAACCTTTTACATTTTCTATTTCATCACTACAATTTCTTGTCAGGATAATATCATCCACATATACCAGCAAAATAACAATAGAATTATTTTTAGACCTCACAAACAAAGAATAATCACTAAAACTTTGAGTAAAACCAAAACTAGAAAGAGAGGAACAAAATTTTTCATTCCATTTTCCAGATGCCTATTTAAGGCCATATAATGAATTAACCAACTTACAAACCCTAGAATCATTTTTAGAATGGTATCCTTCAGGTAAAGTCATATAAACATCTTCAATCAAATCACCATATAAAAAAGCATTACTAACATCAAGTTGAAAAAGAGACCATGAATGATTAACAACAATACAAATCACAAGTCTAACCATAACAATTTTTGCCACAAGAGAGAAAGTCTCATCATAATTTATCCATTCTCTCTGATTATAACCTTTTGTAACAAGTATGTCCTTATATCTCTTGATCTCTCCATTGGACATATATTTAATTTCATATATCCAACGGCATCCGATGTGTTTTCTATTTTTAGGAAGGTCAACAATATCCCTTGTATGATTTCTATACAAGGCCTCCATTTCATCATTCATGGCTTTCACCCAATTAGGGTCTAAAGAAGCCTCAAGATAAGTATTAGGTTCACAAGTTTTATTCAGATTAGATACAAAACACTTGTTTTCATTAGTTAAAACGGAGTAATTCATAGATCTCTCAATTCCATACCTGTGTTTACCTTCTACGACATAATCATTAAATCTAACTGGCAAACGAATATTTCTACCAGAATGTGTGACACCTAAAGAGTGACCATCAGAAGTATTACTAGGTTCTAGACCTTTTTCCTCAGTCAAAGTAGATAAGCTAGGAGCATCCACACTAACCTGAGGCACATGTGCCTCGTCAATCTGGTTGCTAACCCTACTAGTGGGGGTCTCATCCAGGTTGTGAACTGCTCCAACACCTTCAGATTGAGGGGCTGCTCCTAA